CAGAGGAATATAGAAAAAGGCATATTCTAGGTCTAAGACTGAAAACCAGCAAAATTCACCAATGTTGTGAGCGGTGTGTAAGGATTAGGGACCATCATATGATATCTTCCACAATCTGATGAATGGCCCTCCTATCCTGTATAAACCTGTATGTTTTAGTTCTGGGCTTCTGTACTGGCAGAATAGGTGTATTGCATGGAGACTGAGAAGATCTAATGAACCCATATTGTAGGACGTTGGACAACAGAGGCTAAATGCTCCATTGTGCTTGTTCTTCCAGAGGATACTGTTTTAGGTTTGGCCGTGTCACTCCTGCACAGAGCTTGACTTGCACGGGACCTGTAGTTTTTGCCTTCCCTGGCCTCCCATCATCCATGCCTTTGGATTCACCTCTTGGGTGATCTAAGATAATCTCTTCAGGGATGGGAGAATTTTCAAGAACTTCTGATTGCAGCGAAGCAGTTTGCAAAGCACAAGTTTGTTCCAGTGGCACTCAGATGTTCAGTCACCCCAGAGAAAAGGTAATCTTAGGCTGGGCATGGTGGCTCACATCTGTAATCTTAGCACTTTGGGAGGCAGAGGCAGGAGGATCACTTGAGGTCAGGAGTTTGAGACCAGCCTGGCTAACATGGTGAAACCCCATCTCTACTAAAAATACAAACATTAGCTGGGCATGGTGGCAGGCACCTGTAGTCCCAGCTACGCGGGAGGTGAGGCAGGACAATCACTTGAACCTGGGAATCAGAGGTTGCAGTGAGTCAAGATGGCACCACTGTACTTTAGCCTGGGCGCCAGAGTAAGACTCTGTCTCAAAAAAGAAAAAAAAAAAAAGGTAATCTTAGCCTTTAATTTGGTCAGGAGGTCTCATTTTAACAAAGGAATAGTCATTTAGGCATGTATAGGAAATTATGTTTTATTTTTTAATTTTTCAGAGATGGGGGTCTCCCTTTGTTGCCCAGGCTGGTCTTGAACTCTTGGACTCAAGAAATTCTACTGTCTTCAATTGCTTGAACCCAGGAGGCGGAGGTTGCAGTGAGCCGAGATTGCGCTACTGCACTCCAGCCTGGTGCCTGGAGACAGAATGAGACCCTGTCTCAATAAAAACCCAAAAAAACCTGAGTCAAAGGTCAACAGGGCACTTATATTGTTGCCTGCTTGGCCCTCATCCAAGTGTACTTTACTTCCTTTCATTCCTGCTCTAAAACTTTTTAATAAATTTTAACTCCTGCTCTAAAACTTGCCTCAATCCCTTACTCTGCCTTATGTCCCTCAAATGAATTCTTTCCTTCTGGGAGGCAAGAATCAAGTTGTTGCAGACCCATGTCGATTTGCTACTGCTAACACCCCATGCACGTTAATAAAGTTGTATGCCTTATCTCCTATTAATATGTCTTTTGTCAGCTGATTTTCAGTGAACATTCAGAAAGCAAAGGGGAAGAGTTCCTTTTGCCTTATGTGTGTTTTGCAAATATTTCATCCCAATTTGTGGCTCGTCTTTTCACTCTACTAACAGTGCCTTTTGAAGGGTGAAAAGTTAATTTTGATGAAGTCCAATCTTTCTTCTTAATTTTGATTAAGTCCAATCTTTCTTTCCTTCCTTCCTTCCTTCCTTCCTTTCTTCCTTCCTTCTTTCTTTCTTTTCTTCCTTTTCTTTCTGATCTCACTCTGCCACCCAGGCTAGAGTGCAGTGACTCAATCACAGCTCACTGCGCCTTGAATTCCTGGGCTCAGGTAATTCTCCCACTTCAGCTTTCCAAGTAGCTGGGACTGGTGCATGCCACCATGCCAAGCTAATTTTTTGTATTTTTCTTACAGACAGGGTTTTGCCATGTTGCCCAGGCTAGTCTTGAACCCCTAGGCTCAAGCAGTCTGCCTGCCTTAGCCACCCAAAGTGCTGAGATTACAGTGTGAGCCACTGCACCAACCCATTTTTTCTTTTGTTATATTTTTTTACATAATATCCAAGAAGTTTTTGCTTGACTTAGCTGACAAAGCTTTTTCTTTTTATTTTCTTCCAGAAGTTTTATAGGTTTATCCTTTACATGTAAGTCTATAATCTTTTTTTTTTTTTTTTTTTTGGTACCATGACTCAGATAATCTATCATCATTTTGAGTTAATTTTTGTTTGTGATGAAAGGTTAGAATCAAGGGTCAACTAATGTGTATACATATCTGATTATTCTGGCACCATTTGTTGAAAAATGATCCTTTATTCAATTGAATAGCCTTTGCATCTTTGTCAAAAATCAATAAAATCACATTGAGATACCTCTTCACAACTATTAGTGGCTAAAATAAAAAAGGCAGATAATACCAAATGTTGGTAAGGATGTGGAGAAATCTGAACCTTCATATATTGCTGGTGAGAATGTAAAATGAAGTTGCTGCCCTGAAAAACAATTTGGCTAGGCAATTTGGGCTGAAAAACAATTTAGGCTAGGCATGATGGCTCACACCTATAATCCTAGCACTTTGGAAGGCTGAGGCAGGCAGATTGCCCGAGTCCAGGAGTTTGAGACCAGCCTGGGCAACATGGCAAAACTCCGTCTCTACAACAAATACAAAAAATTAGCTAGCCATGGTGGCATATGCCTGTACTCCCAGCTGATTAGGAGGTTGAGGTAGGAGAATTGCTTGAGCCTGGGAGGCGGAGGTTGCAGTGAGTCAAGATCACATCACTATACTCTAGCCTGGGTAACAGAACTCTACCATGTCTCAAAAAAAAAAAAAAAAAAGGAAAAAGAAAATGACAAAAAATAATTTGGAAGTTTCTAAAAATATTAAACGTAATGTTAGCATATGACCCAGCAGCAATTCCACTCCTGGCATAGGGGAGCAGTAGTTAGGCTACAATCTCAGATCTGGAGCACAGAAAGGCCACAAGAAGCAGAAGTCATTGTTCCTGGGGAACCTCAAAGGCCAGCAGATGACAGAGACAGAGTCCCTAATTGGTTCTAACTTAACCTTTTGGAGTTTTAAACACCCTGAGCACACACAATTCAACTTAATTTTGAGACAACTGAATGCCTATTCTCTTGGGGGTTGCCTCAAGAGAAATTAAAACATATGTTTGCACAAACTTATGTATGGGTGGTCATAGCATTATTCATAATAGCCAAAAAGTGGAAACAATGCAAATGTTCATCATAGGAGAATGAAACTGACTTTGCAAAAATCGTAACTGAGAAAATTATTATAGCAAAAGAGATCGACCTAACCAACTCCATCTTACTTCTGAGCTCCAAACTGTCCTTGTTCATTCCTGAGTGTAGGCCAAACTATCTTTGGGAGGAACTTAGTTTATAGTTTAGCTTTCAAACAAAGACCATACAGCCCTTTCCCAAAACAAACCCCTTCCTGCCTGGGGACTAGACTGCCTTTGCAGGACTGAGAAATTAGCCACAAGATTAGAAATTATGGTTTAGGAGTCATGTGGTTGGAGGCAGCAAGATTCTGATTGTCCCCAAATTGCTCCTGGGGATGACATCATAATTGTAAAACCTAAAACCAGTGCTTGAGATGTTTTGCAGACCCTATACTGGATGATGGATCAACTGACACCACCCAGATTGATAAACTGGCTCATCTGGTTTTGTGGCCCCCACCCAGGAACAGACTCAGCACAAGAGAACAGCTTTGACTCCCTATGGTTTTATCTCTGACCTGACCAATCAGCAGTCCCGGCTCACTGGCCCCCTACTCACAAAATTATCTTTAAAAACTCTGATCCTGGCTGGGTGCAGTGGCCCACACCTGTAATCTTAGCACTTTGGGAGGCCAAGGTGGTTGGATTGCTTGAGCTCACAAGTTCGAGATGAGCCTGGGCAACAAGGAGAAATCCTGTCTCTACCAAAAATACAAAAATCAGCTAGGCATGGCGGTGCATGCCTGTAGCTACTCGGGAGGATGAGGTGGGAAGATGGTTTAACCCCAGGAGGCAGAGGTTGCAGTGAGCCAAGATTGTGCCACTACACTCCAGCCTGGGTGATAAAATCAGACCTTGTCTCAAAAGAAAGAGAGAAAGAGAGGTAGGTAGGTAGGAAGGAAGGAAGGAAGGAAGGAAGGAAGGGAGGGAAGGAAGGAAGGATTTAAAAATTTAAAAATATATTAAAACTCTGATCTCCAAATTTTCAGACCTTGTCTAAAAAGAAAGAAATAATTTAAAAATTTAAAAAGATATTAAAACTCTGATCTCCAAATTTTTAGGTACACTGATTTGAGTAATAATAAAACTCCCAGTCTTCCGTACAGCCAGCCTGGGTGAATTACTCCTCCTCTATTGCAATTACCTTGTCTTGATAAGTCAGCTCCGTCTAAGCAGCAAGCAAGGTGAACCCATTGGGTGATTACAAGAGGGGAAAATGGCTTCCCTTTACCTTGCTCTGTTCTTTGGCTGGGCTACAAATGAAGTTGACATACAGCAGATTAACAAAAGAAAACGTATAAAAATTTATTACATACAGAAAGGCATCCTATGAAGGAAAAGTGAGTACATGATAACCCAGGATGATCTGGAAGTTTATATGCCCTCTTCTTAGAGGAGAGGTGAAGGGGAACGTAGACAATTTAAGGGAGAATAACTGAATTTTGAGAAGATGAATGGGCCCTCAGAACAGCAGGTGGTAGTCTGGGTGGGATAGAGAGAAGACAGATCTCTAGTCTCTCCTCCTAATATGGAGTTAATCTTCATGACTGTCGACTTCCTTTTGGAGGATTCTTTTTTTTTTTTTTTTTTTTTTTGAGATGGAGTCTTACTCTGTCACCCAGGCTGGAGTGCAATGGCACAATCTCAGCTCACTGCAAACTCCACCTCCTGGGTTCAAGTAATTCTCCTGCCTCAGCCTCCCGAGTAGCTGGGATTACAGACGTGTGTCACCACGCCCAGTGGTGTTATTTTGTGTTATTTATCTATTTATTTATTTAAGTTTCATTTTTCCAAATGTACAGTTGGTTGGACCTATTCATGCGTCTTCACCAGCAGCTGGAGCATCTCCACCCTTGGTATTTCTGGTGTAAATTACTTGGCTCTGTGCTTTGAAACCAGTTTGATAAGTCCTTTGCTAAGGAGCTCCTGAAGGGCTGCCCTGGCAAGGGAGCCTCGAATCTTCAGTCTCTCAGACACCACAGCTGGAGTTATAAGTTTATAGTTGGGAACTTCCTTACAGAGTTTGTCATAGGTAGCTTTGTCAAACAAGACTAAGTTATTGAGCTTGTCCCGAACTTTGCCTTCGGACCACTTCTTTTTGGCCTTGCCCCCGGATTTGTTCACTGGGTCTTCGTCTTTCTTGGCAGACTTTCCGGCGTCTTTCTTCTTTTTGTCGTCCTTGGGTGGCATTGCGAAGCTCGGAGAGCAACAGCGAATACTACAACCGCACTAAGATGTCGGACAAAAAGAATTTTGTATTTTTAGTAGAGATGGGGTTTCACATATTGGCCAGACTAGTCTCGAACTCCTGACTTCAGGTGAGCCACCGTGCCGGCCTTTTTCTTTCTTTTTTTTTTTTTTTCAGGTGGAGTTTTGCTCTTGCTGCCCAGGCTGGAGTGCAGTGGTGCCATCTCAGCTCACCGCAACTTCCACCTCCCAGGTTCAAGTGATACTCCTCCTGAGTAGCTGGGATTACAGGTCTGCCACCATATCTGGCTAATTTTTTTGTATTTTTAGTAGAGACAGAGTTTCTCCAGGTTGGTCAGGCTGGTCTCGAACTCCAGACCTCAAGTGATCCACCCACCTTGGCCCCACAAAGTGCTGGGATTACAGGCGTGAGCCACCATGCCGGGCCTGGAGGATCCATCTTTAGGCAAATAAGGTGGAAGTCAGAGAAAGCCTTAGTCTGAATTTGCTGTTCCACAAGTGCCCTCAGTCTAAAGCAAGCAGCATTCCAAACCATCATGTTTTGCGATGGCATTTCCTGCTCTCAGGTAATAAAAACTGTCTCTGAGCAGCCCTTTTCCTGATACAGATACGTTTGCTAGGATAGACTTCCTTTATAGATGCAAATTTCTTTTACGAAAGGACAGCTTTTTAGAGCTACTCCTGTCTGCAGTTTCTCAGAATAACCAACCTGAAATATGCCAAGGAAGTATATTTTGGGGCAGGATATTCTGGTCTCCTATAGTTGTATTTTGAGGTGGGGTATCCTGATCCTGAGCTCCAACACCTCAACTGCTAACCAGGTACCTAAAATGTAATATAGCCATACAATGAAATGTTATTTCATAATAAAAAGGAATTAAATATTGATACATGCTACCATGTGGCTATATCTTGAAAACATTACCCTAAGTAGAAGCCAGTCACAAAAGACCACACATTGTATAATTCCATTCATATGAAATGTCACGATTAGGCAAATCTATACAGACGGAAAGTAGATTAGTGATTTCCTAGGACTGAAGGAGTAGGAGAGGAGTGACTGCTAATAGATATGGGGTTCTTTTTGAGGAATCCAATGTTCTAAACTTACATTTTGATGATGGTTGTACAACTCTGTGAACATAATAAAAGCACTGAAATGTACACTTTAAATGGATGAGGTTTTTTTTTTTTTTTTTTTTTTTGAGACGGAGTTTCACCCTTGTTACCCAGCCTGGAGTGCAATGGCGCGATCTCGGCTCACCGCAACCTCCGCCTCCTGGGCTCAGGCAATTCTCCTGCCTCAGCCTCCTGAGTAGCTGGGATTACAGGCACGTGCCACCATGCCCAGCTAATTTTTTGCACTTTTAGTAGAGACGGGGTTTCACCATGTTGACCAGGATGGTCTCGATCTCTCGACCTCGTGATCCACCCACCTCGGCCTCCCAAAGTGCTGGGATTACAGGCTTGAGCCACCACGCCCGGCTAAATGGATGAGTTTTTATGGTACATAAAAATGTTTTCAAAAATCAATCAGTGGCCAGGCATGGTGCTCACTCCTGTAATCTCAGCACTTTGGGAGGCCGAGGCAGGTGGATCACCTGAGGTAAGGAGTTTGAGACCAGCCTGGCCAACATGTTGAAACGCCATCTCTATTAAAAACACAAAACATGAGCCAGGTGTGGTGGCACACACCTATAATCTCAGCTACTCAGGAGGCTGAGGCAGGAGAACCCAGGAAGCAGAAGTTGCAGTGAGCTGAAATCACACCACTGCATCCCAGCCTGGGTGACAGAGCAAGACTCTGTCTCAAAACAAACAAACAAACACCTCGATTGATATATATGTGTGGATCATTCTCTGGACTCTGTTTTGTTCCATTGATATATATGTTCATCTTTTTGCCAATACTACTTTACCCTGATTATCTATCTTTGTAGTAAGACTTTAAATCAGGTATTATGAGTCCTCCAACTTTGTTCTTTTTTTTTTTTTTTTTTTTAAGCTTACTTCAGCCTCTAACTCTTGGGCTCAAGCAATTCTCCCACCTCAGCCTTTCTAGTGGCTAGGGCCACAGGTGTGCACTACCACACCCAGATAATTTTTCTTTTTTTTGAGACAGAATCTTGCTCTGTCACACTGGAGTGCAGTGGCGCGATCTTAGCGCACTGCAACCTCGGCCTCCTGGGTTCAAGCAGTTCTCCTACCTCAGCCTCCTGAGTAGCTGGGACTACAGGCATGTGCCACCATGCCTGGCTAATTTTTTGTATTTTTAGTAGAAACAGGGTTTCACTGTGTTGGCCAGGATGGTCTTGGTCTTCTGACTTCCTGATCTGCCTGCCTCAGCCTCCCAAAGTTCTGGGATTACAGGCATGAGCTACTGCTCCCGGCCTAGCCTTGTTCTTTCTCAAAATTGTTTGATCATTCTAGTTCCTTTTCTTTTCCATATAATTCTTAGAATAAGCTTGTTGTTGGGACTACAGGCGTCAGTCACCACGGGGCCTATTGTTCTTATATATTGCTAAATTCACTTTGTGATGTGAAGGATATTGGTTAATGAAGGATATATTGTTCTATAGATTCTCTCTCCAACCCATCTTGTAATGTCTTAGACTGGCTTTAGTATCAGGGTAATTCAAATATAAATTAAAATGAGTTGGGAAGTATCCTCCTCTTTTATGTTCTAGGAGAGTTGGTGTAGGATTGAGATTATTTCTTCCCTAGATATATGAACCAAGGTTTCTGTTGGTGGGGTGGGAGTGGGTGGGCCCCGATGGGTGGCAGCATGAGGGTCACATGCCTGACGGGTACCAGCTGGCTAGATGCCTGGCAAGGAGGTGATGGCAATCATTCCGCAAGATTAATAGTGGAAGAGCCAGCCAGGCACGGTGGCTCACATCTATAATCCCAGCACTTTGGGAGGCCAAGGCAGGCAGATCACCTGAGATCAGGAGGTTGAGACCAGCCTGGCCAACATGGTGAAACCCCACCTCTATTAAAACTACAAAAATTAGCTGGGCATGGAGAGGGGTGCCTGTAGTCCCAGCTGCTTGGGAGACCGAGGCAGAAGAATCACTCAAACCCGGGAGGCAGAGATTGGAGTGAGCTGAGATTGCACTACTGGACTCCAGCCTGGGCGATGGAGCAAGACTCAGTGTCAAAAAAAAAAGTGGGGGCCGGGCACGGTGGCTCAAGCCTGTAATCCCAGCACTTTGGGAGGCCAAGGTGGGTGGATCACAAGGTCAAGAGATCAAGACCATCCTGGTCAACATGGTGAAACCCCATCTCTACTAAAAATACAAAAAAATTAGCTGGGCATGGTGGTGCGTGCCTGTAATCCCAGCTACTCAGGAGGCTGAGGCAGGAGAATTGCCTGAACCCAGGAGGCAGAGGTTGCGGTAAGCCGAAATGGTGCCATTGCACTCCAGCCTGGGTAACAAGAGCGAAACTCCGTGTCAAAAAAAAAAAAAAAAAAAGTGGGAGAGCCGGTCCAGCATGGTGGCTCATGCCTATGACCCCAGCACTTTGGGAAGCCAAGGAGGGAGGGAGGATAGCTTGGGCCCAGGAGTTTGAAAACAACCTGGGCAACAGAGAGATCCTGTCTCTACAAAAAAAATAGGAAATTTAGCCAGGTGTGGTAGAGTGTGCCTGTGGGCCCAGCTTCTCAGGAGGTTGAGATGACATGATGATATAGCTTGAGCCCAGGGGTTCAAGGTGGCAGGAAGCCATGATCGGGCACTGCACTCCAGCCTGGGCGACAGAGGTTCTATAATAGTGATGTTATCTAGATAAGCAATTGGAGAAGTCACAAATCCTGTGAAGCTAGACATGAGATGGAGTCAGCCATGCAAGACTTCTCTCACTGCCATAATCTTTGCACAGCCAATTTCAATCCCATGAAAAACGTTGTGCTACCACCATCTAAATCTAGCTCCAAAAGATTTTTATCACCACCCACCCATACCTATTAAACAGGCAGTCCTCCTTTCTTTCTCCCCCAGGATTAGCAACTTACAATTTTCTTTCTGTCTCTATGGATTTACCTATTCTAGGTATTTCATATAAATTTTATCATACAACATGTGGCATTTATGTCTAATTTCTCTCACTTAACATGTTTTTAAGGTTCATCCATGTTATAGCATATATCAATACTTCATTCCTTTTTATGGCAGAATAATATTTATTTATTTATTTAGTCGCCCAGGCTAGAGTGCAGTGATGTGATCTTGGCTCATTGCAACTTCCACCTTCTGGGTTCAAGTGATTCTCCTTCTCAGCCCCCCGAGTAGCTGGGATTACAGGCATACACCGCCACACCTGGCTAATTTTTGTATTTTTAGTAGAAACAGAGTTTCACCATGTTGCCAGACTGGTCTCAAACTTCTGATCTCCAGTGATCTGCCTGCCTCAGCCTCCAAAAGTGCTGGGATCACAGGCGTGAGCCACCATGTCCAGCCTGTTTCATTATTGATATTCATAATTTATATATTGCCTCTGTTTTCCTTTGTCAGGCTGGGTAGAATAGTTGTCAATTTTATTTATCTTTTCAAAGAAGCAGATTTTGATTTTGTTAATTCCAATTTCTTTTCTTTTCTTTCTTTTTTTTTTTTTTTTTTTTTTCTGTATACAGAGTCTTGCTCTGTCACCAAGGCTGGAGTACAGTGGCACCATCTTGGCTCACTGCAACCTCTGCCTTCCAGGTTCAAGAGATTCTCCTGCCTCAGCCTCCTGAGTAGCTGGGATTACAGGTGCACGCCACCACACGTGGCTGATTTTTGTATTTTTAGTAGAGACAGGTTTCACCATGTTGGCCAGGCTGGTCTTGAGCTTCTGACCTCAAGTGATCCACCCACCTATGCCTCCTGAAGTGTTAGGATTATGGATGTGACCCACCATGCTTGGCCCATTAATTCGATTTTCTATTACTTGATTTTTCAATTTTAGTGATTTTCTTCTTTATTTTGTCCTTCCCTTGGCCA